GGTCTTCTCTTCTCTTGGGAGAAGGGTGTGATGTAAGTAAAATGAATAAATCAGCCAGGCAGAATCTGTTGGCATTCATACTCCATTGACAGCTAAGAACACTTTTGACTCCAGGTGGGTTTCAGAAACTGTTCTTTCATATCACAGGATTTTTGAACACAAACCGTGGGTGGCAGAAAGCAGCTGTGGTTGTCAGGCTATCACCTGCTCCACAGCATTTGTTCTGAGAAGGAGGTGCTGCCTTGTCATCCACTCTGCTGAATTTTTGAAGACAACTAGATTCTTCTCATGGCAACGTGACAGAAGCTGTTATCAAGTATACCTATGGTTGCTAATGCTTTTTTAAAAAAAGAAATGATTGGATGTGGGGTTTCGTTTTCTTAAGAGAAGCAAAAACATAGCTAGAACCACTAAGCACATATTCATAGAATCATAGTTGGAAGAGACCTCGTGGCCATCCAGTCCAACCTCCTGCCATTCAAAGTACCATGTGCAAGTTGATTTTATAAGTATGTGAGAGCAAGCAAGTGAGAAAGAATGTAGCTGGAATAAATGTCCACCCCATTAAAATTTTTACTGATACAATTACAGGCAACCTCCAAATTGTAGGTTTGTTTTTAAGTTGAATTTGTATGTGCATTGAAACAGGTACATTTTCTTAGTATAACCCGACCCTATATGTGTGTGTGTGTGTATGCATAAGCTTGGGATAGTATAGGAAAGAGTTAACACCCTGTGGTATTTCTTTTACTGTCTGTGCCCCTCCCTTTCTGTCCCTGATAATTGGATTTTGAAAAATGTGGCTTGTTGTGGAAACAAGGAATGGTGATCGAGCTTCAGTTGAGACACCTTTCCCCCATGAGAACTCCTCCAGGAGTGGATTGCCCTTCAGAGGAATGGATTTCTCTCACTTCCTGTCAGGCATGTAGCGGGGGGGGGGGGGGGGGGGGGGGGGGGGGGGGACTTGGGGGCCTTGACCCCCCCCCCCCAAATTATCATGGTGGTCTGTGAGAAGGCCTTACTGGTACATTATTTAAACTGTTATGTTTATTCATATCATGATCTGATCACCATGCTCAATATATCCCATATGCATGGGGGTATTGGGGTAACGATACAAAAGGTTTGCTAGGGTAGACCCTCTTTCACTCAGACTCAGCCCCCCCCCCCTCCCAAATCAAACTCAGCTTCCCCCGAAACAAATCCTGGCTACAGGCCTGCTTCCTGTAGTATCACCCCTGTTCTTAATTGTGAGTTGTTTGTAAGTCAGATGTTTTGTAACTCAGGGACTGCCTGTACAAGATGCCATCAACCAAGATCCTTCTTGGAATGTATACCAGGAATCTCAGGCTGGGGACCTCACCCTTCTGAATTGTTTCAGGTTGATGTTTTAAATGTTGACAATATATGATCAGCCCATTTCCAAATGTCCCCCTGTCCCTATGGCTCACCTTTCTATCACAACATTTTAGCTAGTATACAAGGGGGCTTCCTGAGTTTCCTTCCACCCAGCTGTGACTATCAAAATCTCAGCAGCAAAGCTCCTGCACCATGAAAGACTCCCCCCCCCCCCCCCCCCCCCCGACCAATATGCTGGAACTGGAAATGCCCTGGAGTCTTGCTCTGGCCTGAAGATTATTTGGGGGTGGACACCTTGTGGGAGATGTTTTTTGTTTTAAAAAGGTAGTGTAATGTGAACTTATCTGAGGAAAATTGGAAATATGTTACAATGCCTTCTAGACTGTCCCTCAAGCTAGAAAGGAAGCTCACATATGAGTTCTTGTTGGTTCCCACTAAGCACTATTGACTGTAGCCTGGGAAGGACTTGAGGAATGAAAAAGAATTCTGTATCTTCTTTATGAAAGGATCTATGCTTCCCAATTAGATATTTGGAGGAATTTGTTTCTTTCACCCATAAATTACGTCCCACACACTTGTTTATATGTGACTTCAGACATGCCCAATTGTGAGAAGTGGAATTGCCCCCCCCCCCCCCCAATTAGGCATTTAAGTCTGCACTACCAATGGGACAACAATATATAAATAAGCATTTTCTTCCCCCTCTACGTCAGGGGTTCAATAGAAAACTACAGTTCTCAGCATCCTGCAGGATTGGCTATAACACCTGGACAGCTATATGATTCCTGCTACAACTCTTAAAACATCATCCATTTATCACTATTTTATTAGGCACTAGCCATTCCCTACCACATGCTGCTGTGGCCCAGTCTGTGTATATGTGTTTTGTGTGTGTATATATGTGTACATATTTGTGTATATGCGTGTTTGCATATATATATGTGTGTGGTTTTGTGCATGTGTTGTAATGTATTTTTTGTTTTTTTGCTTTTTAAGTCTCTTCTGTGTTCTTCAGTGTTTTTATGAGTGATGGTTACTCGTTGGCCTGATAGGTGTCTTGTGTCCAAATTTGGTGTCAATTCGACCAGTGGGTTTTGAGTTATGTTAATCCCACAAACGAACATTACATTTTTATTTATATAGATGATAAACCAACACCAACAACTGTTAGGAAAGAACAATTAATTGAACTAACTGAAAACAGGATAAATTAAGTGTTGTCAGAAAAACAACATTTTTCTTTCAGTTGGATCTGATTTGATTGTGCCAGTAGCCTAATGCAGGGTTTTTTTCTTAACTGTCTTCCAAGAAACTGTGGCATTCTTCAGAAATGTAGCAAATGTAGTTTCCTGTACAGACTATGCTGAATTTACATCCATCTGCCATATTTTTTAGGACAGCAAACATTACCAGCATGACTACAGGGGAGATTTTGTTTCACCATTATGTAACATCATGGAAAATAATAGTAGCTCATATGATTCTTTAGTCATGTTTGACTCCAGAGAATCCCTGTACATGCTGAGTATCACTTATTCAAAATGCTCAGAATCAGAAATTTTAGATTTTGGATTTTTTAGCGGGCTTTGTATACTTTTATATAGGTGATATGTCAAGTTTTACAATGTATTGTAATGTAATATAGCTGAGTCATTCACTGCTAATAGGCTTCTATTGGAAATGCTGAGTCATGCATTAACTGCATATAGGGAATCATTTGGGGAATGTGTTCTGGCCTAGTCCAGGTGACTGTGAATGATGCAGTCCTGGGTTTGAGTGTTAAGTCAATGAGTTGGGAAACAATCAGAGATTACTATGTGTAAATGTACAGAATTGTATATAAGGAACTCATGTACAGTGTGTATTTCTCTCCTTGTGCTGTGATGCTGTTTGCCGAAGGCTCTGTGTAATTTATTAAAGGAACCTGTCTGCTAAGACAAGATATAACCGTATGCTGTGGTAAGTTTGTAGTGTCATCCAGATTGGAGGGGGAAACAATAGTAAAACTGACAATGGCTGGGCATGTGCTCAAGTGCCTGTGGAGAGTTCCAGAGTGACTGCAGTTTGTGGGAGCAGTTGAGTGAAAATACTGTGCAGGAAGAAGCTACTGGAAAGCGCTGAAGTTGTGCAACTGATCTGCTGCTGAATTGTGAGATAAAGCGCGACACGATACAACTGAAGTAAACACAACATTCATTTATGGTTCGTATATTCCTTATGCCCATAGCCTCGCCAGAAAGTACATTTATACACATTTTTAATAATTTTGTGCATGAAACCAAGTTTGTGTACACTGAATCATGAGAAAGCAAAGGTGGCATTATGTCAGCCTTCCGTGAGGACAATTTTTTTTTTTTTTTTTTTTTGTATCATTTTTATTGTAGTTTTCATAGACAGTACATCGACAATTTTTGACCTTGGAGTGTGTTGGACCTTGGAAAATGAATATTCAACCCTTATATAGGCAAAGTAAATTAGGAAAGCTGGAGACTGACCTAGGAAGAAAAGTTATCAAGTTACAAATTTGAGGGTGTCTCAAGGAGGTTCCGCAGCATGGCGACACACCTTTCATAAAATCAAGGGCTGAAGTCTCAGGATTACGCAGGCATTGAGGTTAACGTTTGCCTTTGGTTTCCTTCTGGTTCCTCTTTGGTGTTGCAGTTAGGATGCAGTGTGGCAACAATGAGTTTCTATGCTGCTTCAGCCCTCAAAAGCACTTCTGCCTTCCGTAAAAAGATTGCACTTGCTTTAAAAAAAGAAAAAGAAAGCTAGACCATGGTTTTTCAGATGAAGGACATAGCCAGGCATGTAGCCGGGGGTGGGGGCTTTGGGAGCTTCAGCCCCCCCCCCCCCCCGAAATTCTCATGGTGGCCTGTGAGAAGGCCCTACTGGTGCATTATTTAAACTGTTATGTTTATTCATATATTGATCTGATCACCATACTCAATATATCCCATAAGCATGGGGGTATTTGGGTAAATATAGGTTACTTACCTGTAACTGTAGTTTCCCGAGTGATCACCTGTGAATTCGCACATATGGTAGTTTCTGCGCCTGATCCGAAGCTGTCTGCTCAGGCGCAGAAACTACCATATGTGCGATTCACAGGGATCACGATGGGAAACAAGGTTTGCTAGTAAAAGACCCTCTTTTACTCAGACTCAGTCCCCCCCCAAATCAAAATCCTGGCTACGGGCCTGGATATGGCAGCTGGGGTTGGAGTGCTAATGTCTATGGTAGAGTCACCATCCTCATTCTGCATAGTCTTATTTGCTATCACAACTGTTAACTAGGTTGAGAACTGCTTCAGACTTGTTAGTCTTTTCCTAACAGTATTTAGGCACTGTTTGCCACATTATCCATAGCGAAGGACGCAATGCTGCATGCGTGTGAGTGTGTACAGCATTTTAAACTTCTTAAAATGACTTGTGTTTGTGTTAATACGTCACCTGGCACACTCCCAATGTGGCCAGCACCAAGTTCAGTGTAACTAAAGCTTTCATTCCGTCTTGTGGAGGGAATGCTTTCCAAGGGCAGCGTGTTCATTTCTAAAAGGAATATTGGCCCAACCAATCACAACACGATGGCCACCTTCTGATCAACTGAAAAGCTCTAAAAAGACATCCTCATCCACAACAGAGAAAAAAATATTATATTTTAATGGCAGGGCAGAACATTTCTACCTTGGTAATGAAAGGCTCAAAACATATCTGTAACATTTACATAAGTTTATAATCCAATTCTAGCACAGAATACAGTACTTACCAACATGAGATGCAACTAGATTACTGTGTAGAATGCATGCTGAGTGCTAAGACTGGGCCTGAACCTAATGGTTTAACATAAAAAATATAGTTTCTTTAAATGACCATACACACACACACACATATATATAAAATGCAATTGCCACAGCATCTTTGTTGCCAAAGGGAGAAAAAATTAAATCAAGTTGTTTTGAAAAAAAAAAACTAAAAGGAAAAAGATAAGAGACACCCATAAAGAAAGGACTGTTTTCTTGTAAATTTATAAGGCAAACTTTTTATATAATAAATAGGATACAAGGGTAGGGAGGGGAATTGGTGGATTTCTTTTAAACATATACATGTACATTCAGACGGATTTTGTTATTTTCTTACTGAAATTATACAAATTTTCCTTTAATAAATTTCTTTTTTCTTTTTTTTAAATATAGTCAGTGCTTTCAGTCTTTTTTTTTTTGTTTTTGGCTGTACACAAAACCTACAAAAAGAGCAATCAATTTTAAATTTTATTAAACAATCTACTCAGAGTTCTTAAAAGTAATTGTCCCAAAAACGCATTAACCAAATGCCAGGAAATAGGGGTCGGGCTGAAGAATGCCAATACTTTTGAAAATGTATTTCAAAAAGAGCCAATAGAATTTACCCAATTCTGTTAAGTCCTATTTGGAAAATTCTTGGTAATTTTTCATTCTTCTAACATTTGAGAATTGCTATGGTTGAAACATACATTCCCATCTATATAGATTAGTAGCAAGCACTTTGCACTTCAAAAATGGTGGGTTTACTTTAGATATTGATGGGACGTTCATTCAACTCTGAATCTAGTAGAAAGTTTCATCGCATTCCTCTTTATTGCCCTTCTGGCGCTAGGTCCTTCTGGGTTCATTATCACAGCCCAAAGAATATTCATATGAAGGAATCTAACCACCTCACACTTTTTTGCTACATTGCCTACTGGTGGTGGACTGTTAGAAATAGAAGCTATACAAAATACCCTGGGAAAGCCTATTGAAAAAATAAAACACACACACACACAACAAAATCTCCACTGATCACATCCCCCAGTTAGCCTCCCTTTTCTTTGTACTGCCAATAAGACAAGACAAAAATAAAAAGTATACACTGTTCCTCCCTTTTAAAATATATACATATGTCTGAAACACTCAAAAATCTGAAGCGTTTGTGCCTGGAACAATTACTTTACAGAAATGTTCACGATACATACTCGTGGACCATTGAAAAAAAAAGAAACAACACACACAGAGATAAGGTTTTCACCAACATTCCTTCAATTTCCCACCCACCTCTCCAGAGGTCGGGGTGAATGGGGAGATAAAACCCTATGCACAAGGAGAGTCTCAAAACACCACAGGTTCGTCATGTTTTCGAGGGAGAGGGGAAGACTATTGGAAAGAAGACAACACCTCTCACCCCCCCAAATCCGTGTCTCTGGAATTTAACAAAGAAAATTGGGTGGCAGGTAGGAACATCACTAGCGAGAACGTCAGCTATGTGGGGCGAAAGAGCTGTACAGGGCAGCAAGCACTCAGCACACATTGAATAACAGTCCTTGGAATATTTGGTCATATGGTGAGCACTACGGAGTGGTGAAGCAGAAGGAAGTTGGTTTTTGTTGTTAGCCGCGTGTTGACGGATGGAAGCAGGGGAAGGGATTGTCCCCTTCTTCCCCCTTTACCCCCTCCCCCATTCTTTGAGAGGGGAAACTTTCCCAAGTTGGGGAATTTGTTTTTGTTTTTTGCACCCGGGGGGGGGGGGGGGAGTCTCAAAATGCTTTAAAAAAAAACTTCAGAACTTCACCCACTTATATATGTATATATTTGCAGCTAAAGACACACAACTGCAAATAAGCGCTGACCATATGTCTGGCTTGGAAGAAAACCCTTCACAGGTTGATCTCCTCCGGATCTCCATTAGGAAGAATATAGATGCACTCCTGCCCCACCCCAAGTGTAAATTTGCGCTCAGTCTAGTTCGCTTTGCTTTTGGAAGAACGGCAAGTTTAGGTTGCTACCTCCCAAGTGGGTATTGCTGGTTTTGGCAACTTGCAAGCGGAAGCTGGCCGAAAGCACACACAGCCCCCCTTTCCCTTAATTGTCTCTCCTGGGATGTGGTAGGGATGGAAGAAAGAAGTGCTAAAAAGCCCACCCTTTAAGATCTACTTCCAAACACATCATGCCTTTGATCTGATGAAGGTTAGAAGGGCCCTGATATCATGGTGCTACCAGAACTTGCACGAGTAAAGCTCTTGAAGGAAACCAAATGCTCCAGAATGGCCACTCATGGTACCCTATTGTACCAGGAGCCCCAGGTGGCGCAGTGGGTTAAACCCCTGTGCTGGCAAGCATGGTACCCTATTGTACCAGGAGCCCCAGGTGGCGCAGTGGGTTAAACCCCTGTGCTGGCAGGCAGGACTGAAGACCGACAGGTCGCAGGTTCAAATCCGGGGAGAGGCGGATGAGCTCCCTCTATCAACTCCAGCTCCTCATGCGGGGACATGAGAGAAGCCTCCCACAAGGATGATAAAAACATGAAATCATCTGGGCGTCCCCTGGGCAACGTCCTTGCAGACGGCCAATTCTCTCACACCAGAAGCGACTTGCAGTCTTTCAGGTCGCTCCTCACACGACCAAAAAAAAAAAAACTGTACCAGAAGGCAAATCTCCACCTAAGGAACTGCTTGCTCACTGAGTCCAAAGTTTAAAATACAGACAGGGAAACTTCTTTGTTTGGAGAAACTGCATTGGGGACAAAATCTTGATCTCGTTCCCTCTCTCTGGCAGATACATGCACTTCGCTCCAGGAATCTATCATGCTGCTTGTTTGTTCTCCTCATTGTTGGAACTCTTCTACATGCAGGATAAGGAGAATGACCCATAACATCAAGCAAAGGTATGACGTCTTTGGAAATTAGATCTGGGCTTATTGTGCCAAACTGGAGAAAAACAAGAGGCAAAGGCAGGTTTTCACTGGTTACGGGGAGACACACTATGGTAGTAGGCTCTGCATTTATGCCAGCTGACATGCAAGGCACACAGTTCAATGGGAGTGCTAGGGCCCTAAAAAGGTGTGAAAACTGCAGGAGGTAGCGGAAGAACACAGAGCATGATTTTGTGAGGAAGGAGCGGACAGCTCTATAGGAAGAGATTCAACTAAGAATCCAAAGGATTTGTCCAACAGCAACATTATCCCAGTGCAGTGTTTTCCTCCAAAGTAGCCATAAGCAGAATTAAATCACATGTTTATGGACTTCCCACAACACTCCATGTCCCTTCCTCCCCTTCACCAAACCAAACCCATGCTCTGCCCTGTAAGTTGACTTGAGCGCAATTTTTAAAAAAGTGTTAGCTATACTCAGCTACCTTGTTGGATTTCCCCTCATGGAGGGAAAAAAAGAGGAAACCCCTTTCTAAAATTGTAACAACAGAGCTAAAAGGCAGTCCAGCTCTAACACGGAGAAAAATTACTGGCAGGCAGGTTTGATGGGTCCGCTTTATTTCCCCTTGTCCTATGATATTGAACACCAGGAATAATGGTCAAGAAGCAACATATAGTAATTTCTCAACAGACCATGTCATTCCTTGTCTGTTGTCTTTGTTTGGTAGTGGCGCAACAAGCAGGAAAAAGCAACCCCTCATTTATAATGCAATATACAGATATATAAAATTAGACATTTTTTTTCTCTCTGTCTACTTGGTGCCTTAAAAAACAACAACAACAACACACACAAACAAACAGAAATTAAATCCTCAAACAAAACAAAAAAAAACCCCAAAAGAATTAGGTCTAACGTTAAACTCTACACATTTCTGGATAATAATTGAAAATGACAAGAATTTTTATTTTCACTTGACACAAAAACATTGGGTGGTTCACAATGCTAACAAGGTAGAAACCTCTTGCGCAATCTCTCCGACATCAGGCACTATCCGCATTTGTCTCAGACGCTGACCTGGATGGGAGTGGGCCGAGCTGGGTGGCCTTCAGTTCCGTTCTGAGACCCAACTTTGTGTCCCCTCCAAAGAAACTGTCAGATTGCCAAATGACAACTGGGGTTGAGTTCACCCAAGAGAAGCAGCTAGCTCCAACATCATTAGGAGAAGGGAGTGTAATGGGAAGCAGCCAAGATTTCTTTCACTCCGCAATTGATCCTACCATTTCACCTCATCAATCCCCTTCTTTGGAGCCGAATTAGATTCTGGGAAGGGGAAAGTCCAGGTCTGGGAAGAGCTTCAAAATGGAGCAGAAAGGATGTCAAAGCAGTGGTGGGATTGTGGAAGAGGAGATTGGTGGGATCAACACAGTTTGTCTACCAACAGGTACAAAAAGTGCCCTCCCCTGCTCTATACTTGTCAGAAATCCATTCCCATTCAGCCCTACATCACACCATGAAGGTAAGGGGGATATAACACCTCTCATTTGTCTGGAATGTAGAGAGTCCCAGGGTCATGATACCACAGGGTGTTGCAAGCTGTTCCAACTCGTATGAGGTTAGCTCAGAATGACCATTGAACACCATAATTCATTAAGTATGTATTGTGCAGCTTAAGGTCCTCTTCTAGCTTTCAAGAACAGCTCCTTCGCTGCGATCTATTGAAAGTCAGCCCTCGATACATGGCCCCTAAAGCCCACAGTGTTTTGGAACAAGAACCAACTGATGGGAAGATTTAAACCTCCCCAAACTGTGCTTTTTCCAGTCTGGTTCAGTGCCACACTCTTACTGGATGGGGCAGAGCAAGAGATATTAATCTGTCCAATACATATTTAATGTACCACACAGCTTAATTCCAAATGGTTCAATCTGGGTTGCACTAGGTTTTCTTCTCTCACATGTCCCTGGCTGGACACTTCATTCTGGATATATTACAGATCTAAAGACGATCAACCTCACTCAAGATGTACATGGAAGCTTTTTTTAAAACAAAGAAGACAGGGATCTCTATCTGTATCTTGTATTTCGATCCCACTGTTAGTTCCAGGTGTGGCCTAAGCCTATTTCTCTCAGGCTTTTGTCACGACACCATCAGAACCATAGTCAGCAAAGGCCTTGTGGCTCCATTTCTCCTCCCAACAAGGGGGAAAATTAGAAAGGATATATTTTATCTCTTGGCTTTAAAGTGCATCGTTTTCACCTTGAAAAGATCAGTTCGCTCAGGAAGTCATATTTTGTGGCATCAAGAGCGGCTGAAAAGACAGATAACAGGCTATTACATTTTGCCAAAATGTACTTTTACAGAACTCCTGTGGCACGGAAAGCTTTGGAGCTCTGAGTGAGGTGAAGCCATGTCAGTGTGTATGATAGCAAAAGCCACTGCCTCACTAGTCCAAATGTTAAGTGAATACCCCACATGTAGCTGAAGATACACTGCTATGAATCTTCAAAGGATACTATAATGCCTTATACTTTATGAACAAGGTCGTACTGAAGGCAAAATTTCACATGGCAGTGGCACATTTTTCAACATGTTTGCTCCAAACACATGTATAAAGGGTAAGTCCAAGTGTTAGAGCAAAAACCACATGAAAACGAGAGTAACTGAATCCCCTCTCCATGCCTGCTCGCTTTTCCCTAACCTCCTCTCTAAAAGATCTTTTATCTTAGTAAATCTGATTTCAAAAACACCGTGCATTACCTGTATATGTTCCTTCAATCTATCCTTCGGGAGATCTGGTAGATATGCATGCCCAGTTTTGACTACCTTTTTCTCATTCCTCCAATTTACACGATTGTTGTACACAATTAAACACATGAAAACTGCAGAGTATTTTCCTTTCTTGCAATTCCAAATTTTTAATGGCATGCACTTCAGATCTCAACCAGGCGTAACTGCAGCTAACACAGCTGCAATTCAAATTTCTGGTGTGTGTGTGTGTGTGTGTAGAGAAATGCTACACAAAATGTGGCCAGGGAGCAGTAGCGGACAGTTCTGTATCCCGTCTACTAATCCCAGCCTAGTCCCCCCCACTATCCTTCTAATAGAATAAATAAGGGAGGCCTGCCATGTTAGAGGCTTGGCGGCCAGAGTGTAGGAACCAATTTATTATTATTTATTTCGGTCATTTCTACCCCGCCCTTCTCACCCCCAGGGGGGACTCAGGGCAGTTTACAATTCGGCACAATTCGATGCCAACAATTACAATAAAAACCAAGAGGCAAATGATTTGTGTCAGGCATGATGCCTCAGATTAAAAACTGATAAATACAATTATATTTTCCTATTGACTATTTAATAGTTCTTTTCCTTTCTTTCCTGCAACTCTAATACATTTGTGCATTTTAAAAAATATATAAAAGAAAAGCCCTTTGGGTTTTTAAGCTACCGCAAAGCTATCTCCTCCCCAACTCTTACTCCCTCATTTTTTTCCCATGTAATTCTTCATATATTGCTTGTGTCTCCACAGCACAACTCTCAGGATAGCAACCTCCATCCAAATTGAACGACGAGTTAATTTTTAGATGTGTTATGTTTTTGGGGAGTGGGTGGAAAGAAGCACATTTCAGAATCCTCCATTCTTAGCAAACTCCAACCTAAACTCTAGTTTCATTCAATTACTTGCCCTTTGTAAACATAAATGAGAAGACAACTCCAATTCCACTGCCAGCTGTTGAGCAAGAAGACAAAATCAACATTCATCTTTGAGTATAGGATAGGAAGCCCAGAAAAAACAAGGAGGCCTTGTTGCGTGCCGTGTTGTGGCAATGAAAACAAGTCGGATCATAATTGGTCAATTGATCTGCCTGTACTGAAACTGGAGTTTTTGATTAAGACCAGCACATTCCTTCATATATAATAACTACAAATGCAGTATGTCCTTTATTTCCTCACTACCTCTGAGGATGCTTGCCATGGATGCAGGCGAAACATCAGGAGAGTCTACCGGATACCATGCATGGCCATATAGCCCAAAAAAAAAACTACAACAACCCTGTCCTTTATCTGTTCCTCCACATGGAAAGATGTCAGGTAGGTGGGAGGAGAGAACAGTATACAAAGATGTCCCAAACTTGTCAGATTTGTTCAAGATCTTTCAAAAAACCTATAGAAGATGCCAGATTTGATAAGAATAATGGCACTGAATTTAGATTCCTGATCTAAATGTTGCTTCTGACTCTTTGCCACGGGGGTGGGCAGATATCACAACAGGTAAAGGTAAAGGTAGTCCCCTGACATTAAGTCCAGTCATGTCTGACTCTGGGGTGTGGTGCTCATCTCCATTTCTAAGCCAAAGAGCCAGCGTTGTCCGTAGATGCCTCCAAGGCATGACTGCATGGAGCGCTGTTACCTTCCCGCCGGAGCGGTACCTATTGATCTACTCATATTTGCATGTTTTCGAACTGCTAGGTTGGCAGAAGCTAGGGCTGACAGTGGAAGCTCACGCCGCTCCCCAGAATCGAACCTGCGACCTTTCGATCAACAAGCTCAGCAGCTCAGTGCTTTAACCCACTGCGCCACCGGGGCCTCCTAGATATCACAATAGTACTATATATAATATGTACTAAGGGTGGGGAGGAGCAAAAGAAAAAGCCTGCCTTACACACTGCTGCTCCAATTAGAAGCAGAACCTTTTAGGGCTGTATTAAGAAATGTGATCAACTGTGTCCAGATGTGTGCCTACAGGGGCATTCACAGACCTACGGAACAAGACAGGAAGTTGTGGTGACCCTATGCAGGCGCTGCGACTCCTTTCCAAGCACTGCTTCTATCTTTTGCCCAGGCTTGGGCCTATGCTCCCTATCTTTTTCAGTACTGAACGGGATGGTGGTGGCAGTATGGAATTCCGCTCTGTGCTATTTATTAAAATTTAAAACATGTAGAGTGGCCTCTGCTTCTCTTCCTCTCTGCCCTTCATTTCGGCCATTTTCCGTACGAAAGAAAGAAAGGGGAAAGTGTCTCGATATAAAGCTCAGACCCTAGTATACGCTACACTTCTGCTGAGAGCCCTGCTTTCTGGGAAGCGAAGAGAGGTGTGCTCAACTGCCATGGAAGAGCTTGGTTGCCAGCCAGAAGGAAGTCCTTTGAAATGAAAACAAACCAACCAACAATCCAGGCTTCTCACTTTGGCCACCGCCATGTACCAGTTCCAACACAGAAGTACAGGTAGTTTTACAAACATTCATCTACCTTCCTGCCCAACAGGAGGGTGGGAGAGGTATTCAATCAAAATGCCCCATTCTCAATCCACACGCAGGCACACTCCAGACATCTTTCATACCATCGTCTCCTGACCGGTGGGCAAAGGCCTCCATTAGTGCAAACAAGTGCCCTAACCTACTATCACTGAAGAGAACTGGAAGAACTTCTCATTTTAACTGTTAGCATGTGACGAGTGCACATAGAAGCACACACACGCACACACACGTTTCAGCACACGTGGATTGCTTTAACGAAATCAAAGGCCCCTCCTTTCAGGATAGACTAGGAAAAGAGGGCAGACTCACAAAGTCACCCCCAGAAGCCTAGTGGTCTCTTAGCAGCAGAACTGTCCTGTGGGGGGAGAGGAAATGGGGGAGAAGGAAGAGAGGATTGCCTTCCTAATTGCTGGTCTAACTGGCAGATGGGGGGCAGGCGGCATTATTGGTTCTCCAGCGTTCCACAGCCCCATCCCTTTCTTTATCTTATGTGTACACACACGCACACACGCCCTACTGAAAACTACAGGATTCTGACTAAGACTGGACAACTACATTACATGGCACTAGGGGAGTGGAGTGGAATACGCACACATGGCCCCCTCCACCGCCCAATCTGTCCATGGGGTCTCTTAAGATGGAGGGCAAGTGGGATCGGATTGACAGGTCTGAGTTGGAGTTATCCCTCCCCTGCCAAACAGCTCGCCTTGTCAGTAGTATATGCAGCAAAGCATGGCAGAAGGGGCCGGGGTACAAAGGGAAGTTGGGACGGGGGAGAAGAGGGTGCCCCCATTCTGTAGAAAAAGTGCAAAGTGGCTTCCAGCCCTGGGAGGCATGCCTCTGTAACCCACACTGTGCTTGTCTGTATTAAAAAGTAAGGGAACAGAGAGAAACAGAGGACGAATGAAGGTTTTGTTTTTTTAGGGGGGGGGGGATAAATTGATTGGTTGAAAGCTGGGGCACTGTGGGGAAAGGGGAGTCCTACCCGGCAGCGACCCGGTGTCTCATCTTGGGTGTGGGGGGCTGGGAGTGCTGCCTGCCCTCTCTTTGTTTCCTCTGGCGCTCATTTGCTCACTCACCCCCCTCAAAGTCAGCTGACCCGCTCTGACACAGGCGTCCTGGTGTCCACGGCCTCATCCCTGTTTGTGGGCCGGGCCAAGGCCGCGGAGGACGACACAGTGTCTTTGCGCTCGTGTTTGTAGGGCACTGCTGCGCCACCAGATTGAGTCTTAGGTGGCTCCTTGGGGCAGCCGTCGCTTTCGGGAGCCTTCTCCTCTTTGCAGCTCTTGCTGCTGCTCAAGTCCTGGGGTTCGGCTGAAAGGCTCTTGCTGTCCTTGGGGCTTTCAGGGGACTGAGCAGTGGGGCTGCCCTGGGGCTCTGAATGTGGCTGATGGGGAGTGTGGAGCTGATCCTTCTTACCAGGGGACGAGGAAGGGGCAGAGGTTGGCACTGCATTGCCACCCCGCCCTTTCGGACTGCTCTCTTTGCTGCGGCGCCCTGGGCTCTTGGCAGCTGTTCGCTGTCCCTTGGAGCTCCACTCCCCTGTGTTGCTCGGGGGAGGTGGAGTTGGCTTGGCTATCTCTATGCTGACAGTCTCGCGGGTCTTGCGCTTCTTGATGGGCAGTACTGTCTCCCGGACGGCCTGAACTATCGGCTCCTTGATGGTTTTCTTTTTGGCTTCAACCACGACAGCTGCCACTCCACTGCCTGGCTTGCGCCCCCGCTTCTTGGGCACAGCTTGGGGGTCTGATTCAGATTTCCGCTTGCGCCCAGGACGCTTGATAACCATGACCTGTGCCGAGGTGGTTGCCCCACCTGTGCCTTCCGCCTTTGCTGCAGCTATGGAGGACTGTAAAGGCATCTTGACCAGCAACTTTCCCGAACTCTTCTCAATCACCCGCTTGACTTGTACACCTTCCGAGGCAGCTCCTCTGGGTTTGGCAGAGCCACTGCCTTTAGGCCGTCCTCGTCCACGACCTGTGCTGGAGGTTTTGGGGGCTTTGGGTTTCTTGGGAGGCTTTTGCTCTCGCCGTGAGGGGCTCCCACGTCCAGTCACTGTGAAATCGAAATCATTAGGATCCAGAGTGGTGTCTCCCACTTTTTCAAAATAGGCGATAAGCTCAACTTTGGAACGGAAGGCCTTGCCCTGGGGGCTGCAGGTACAGGAGTCAGAAATATGGAAAGGACAAAAAAAGGGAGAAGGGGGGAGAGAGAAAAAAGAATTAATGACACTCTACCACAGAAACATACTTTAGGTTACCACATAGACTAAAGAAGCCTCTATGTTACAGGAAGACATGAGAACTCCTTAACTGGCAACTCTGTATTTGCTTACTAATGGCTGAATAATTCTAGTATGACGGATTCTCAGATTGGAAAAAAACCCACACTAGAAAGAAGCAGCTTTCTTTCCTTTTTGAAATCAACCGCAGGTTGGGCCTTGCTTCTCTCCTTTTTTCCTCTGTACCAACATGTATATCTGGCCCAGCATGAGTCCCAACTGAAACACAAGATATGCAATGACAGATAGTTTGCCTTCTTTGCTTTGTTTTGTCCACTACCCTGAGAATGGGTGATACAACTATTTGAAGCCCTTATTACTTAAAAGTACACTTTTGCCCCCCTTTTAGCTCATTTTATTGAAAATATGGAAAGAGAGAGGTAGAGAGGTGGCATATTGACAGATATCTAAGTGTTTGTATTTTTTTTTTAGAGCTGTTGCAATAATAACGTCACAACAGACTTGTGACTAAATTTACCCGTGTTCACTTTTATAAAAGACCAGATAGCAGGCTGGCACTTGAGTCTTACTAGAAAATCTGGCGCAGTTGCAGAGCCTTGAGATTTTCTGCCATTCAGAGTAATACTGAGCTACAGATGTGACTCAGTGTGAGTCAGAAGAGGCTTTGTATGTATGTGCAATTTGAGGAATGACTAGGAGTGGTTTTGAATGAATGGTTCAAGCGCTACTACTCAAAAACCCCTTAGGTAGCCATTCCATCGTTCCCTTCTTAAAAGATGGGCAGAACAGAGGAAGAGCAAGAGAAATGGAAGATGCAGTGTGGGAAAAACAAAGGAGGGTTATCACATGAAGTCCCTAAAAGCAGGACCCCCTTCCCCCCAAATTCTACTAATGAAGCAACGTGGTTATAGGGTAAAAGTATTGTTGGAAGGCACTTGAAAGTGTTAATTCTGAGATACTGTTCCTTTTACCACTGTGTTTTAACTAATGTTTTATACTGTCTATGGCAGTGATGGACAACCTTTTGAGCTTGGTGTGTCAAAATTTGCCGAAAACCTGAGCATAACTTGGGTGGAGTGTCACTTTGAGAAAAAAGCCATCATTTTGCAATATTTATAGTTTAAATAAGAAAAATGTATAATCCATGCTGAGCTATGGAGTGAACAATGCTCAAACTTGCAGATGTTAAATTTGTAGAGCCTTTTACAAATTTAAGGATGGAATTAGATTGGCTCTTATAAGGTATACTTCTCTGTATGTGGCCGCATGTGTCTGCGTGTCATCAAAAATAGCCATGCGTGTCAGTGCTGACACGCATGTCATAGGTTCACCATCACAGGTCTATAGCCTAATCTGTCTATTTATTTTATTTTTTCTTCTATATACTGATTTGTCATTTATTTTGTATATATTATTCATTGTATTTATCTATGTTGTAAGTTGCCCCAAGGTTTTTTGGGGAGACGGAGTGGGATATAAATAAATAAATAAATATTATTATTTATTGATAAGCACCAATCATTGATTCTATGAGAAAAGGCAGGGTTGGAAACAATTTGACCTCCAGATTTTGTTGAACTTCAGTTCCCAGGCAACCTGGCTAGCAATTAGAAATGGTGAAAATTGTAGTCTCAGCCCATTTCAAGGGTGTTCTTCCTGTGACATGGCAGTGCTGGTTTGCTCTGGGCGTGCGACCCTTTCCCCAAAGGCAGAAGTGGGTGGTTAGCATGAAAATATTTTGGACTTCAGATAAAGGAGAATCAAGCTGTACTACTTGTTGCTGCAAGCCTTTAAGTTATTTCCAATTACAGTGAATCTAAGCCATCTCTATGGCAAAAATTAGAACCCTGGGCTCCCAGAGGCATAGTTCAATTCTTATAGTTAAATGATCCACCAGCCTGGTCATCTACAACTACTATAATAACAATATCCGTTATCACACTTTAGATCTGGAAAAAAAACCCCAGAGGGATTGACATCAAGTGAATGATTAGGAAATACTTTTTTTTCTGTGTCAGGAGTGACTTGAGAAACTGCAAGTTGCTTCTGGTGTGAGAGAATTGGCCATCTGCAAGGACGTTGCCCTGGGGACGTCTGGAAGTTTTGATGTTTTACTATCCTTGTGGGAGGCTTCTCTCATGTCCCCGCATGGGGAGCTGGAACTGACAGAAGGAGCTTATCCACGCTCTCCCCAGGTTCAAACCTCTGACCTGTCAGTCTTCAGACCTGCAGGCACAAAGGTTTAACCCAGGGGTCCACAAACTTTTTAAACAGAGGGCCAGGTCACAGTCCCTCAAACTCTTGGAAAAAAACATGAATGAATTCCTATGCACACTGCACATATCTTATCTGTAGTGCAAAATCACTTTAAAATAATACAATAATTAAAATGAAGAACAATTTTAATAAATATAAGCTTATTAGTATCTCAATGAGAAGTGCGAGCCTGCTTTTGCCTGATGAGATAGGATTGTTGTTGTTGTTGTTGTTGTTGTTGTTGTTGTGTGCTTTCAAGTCGTTTCAGACTTAGGTTGACTCTGAGCAAGGGCCGGGTAAATGACCTTGGAGGGCTGTATCCAGCCCCCGGGCCTTAGTTTGAGGACCCCTGGTTTAACCCATCGCTCCTCCGCGGGCTTCTCTAAGAAATACTGATGTCTTGTATTGCCACAATTTTTCACTAATTCTTTATGGTCTTACCAGAGATAGGAAATACTGATATCTGTTTAGACCAGATAGCCGTGAAAAATTGTGGCAATATAAGATAGAATAGAAGCTCCTATTTGTCTGTCTGTCTATGTTTATTGTATGTATATCCCACCTTTCTTCCAAGAGTACCAGTGTCTATGAATGATCTTCCTTTTAAACATACTGAACAGAGCACAACCCCCTTGCAAATACAGAACCAGCCACTAACAAGCCAGGTTTTCAGCCCAGCCCTAAATTTGCTATACTGGATTTCTATTTTCAAAAGATTAAGAGAAAGGAAAAGTTCAGAATGGCAAACCTCCTGCAGTCTAAAATGAAACAGGGGAGTTAATAAGCAGTTGAATTGTGCTCATAAAAACATGCAGTGGGATCAAATAAATGGACTTGGAAGACCAATTTTAACTGGCTAAGATCACAATTTTCAAAAGGTTAGCAAGAGCAAAATCTTCGAAATTAACCCCTCATCTCTACAATCCCAATTAAGGAGGGCCAAGGAACAGACTCAGATCTTGGAATGTTACTTTTGAAAAGCAATGACAGTTACAATGTTCAAAAATATACATAGTTATTTTTTTTAAAAAAACTAGTTACTGATCTTGTTTGATTACTGGTTTACTTCAATTGCCTAGAGAACAATTGTTTATTACTATTACTAAATTAACATGGGTTCCTTTTAACTACATCAAAAAGCAAGTCTCCTGCAGGTCACCATCCTATAGTTTAAAAGGATGGTTGCTTATCAGTAACTATGTTTCTTCAAGTAGTCATTGATAAAATCACAACAAATGAGTGTTTTGCCCCTGGATTGAGATTCTTTGGAACCTTCTAGAATTCTAAAGATACAATTCTGGCAGACCCCGATCACTCTCCCCAGTGGTATAATAGTACATTGCCACCAAAATCTCCAGTTCCATAGTTGCATGGCAGTGGACATGTACTAGGGCGCTTGTGATGCAGCAGGGAGGACAGACTGCATTGGGTGATTTCACAGGTTACCACTAAAAAAAATACAGTTACAGGTAAGCAATCTGTCCTTCTTCGTGGTCTCTTGTGACTCACACAAAATGGGTAACTGGCAATGGGTAACTAGAGAAGACAATTATGCTAGAGAAGATAATTATGCTGGGGAAAGTGGAAGGTAAAAGGAAGAGGGGCCGACCAAGGGCAAGATGGATGGATGGCATCCTTGAAGTGACTGGACTGACCTTGAAGGAGCTGGGGGTGGTGACGGCCGACAGGGAGCTCTGGCGTGGGCTGGTCCATGAGGTCACGAAGAGTCGGAGACGACTGAACGAATGAACAACAACAACAGCAATACTAACCATAGGAAGTGGGATGTCACATCACGTGTGTCCTGCCAAAAGCACCATCTTTTCTGGATCCGGCGTCCACTTTGTGGTGTGATACAAAAATGAGAGGGTGGCTACTCTGCAGATGTTGTCAAGAGGTATTCCTCTCAGGAAAGCAGTGTAGGTCACTACAGCTTGAGCAGAGTGTTCCCAAATGGTCTTAGGTTGAATTTGACCCACAAGTTGATAGGAAAAGCAACTGCAATCCATTTACAGTGCCTCTGGGATGTCACAGGTGAGCCCTGAGTAGCAGAGGAGTACTTGACAACATGCCTCATTGATTTCCTGTGTAAGGTAACCCAATGGACATAGAAGGCTAAGGAGCTTCTGACATTGAGACAGTGCCGTGTCTTCCCTAGGTCAGACATGGGATTTTGAAAAAAGGCGGGTTTATTCATTGTGTCAGAAGCAAATTGAGGGTATTGTACTAAAGTTCCTTTGACCAGAAGCTAGCCACTTCAAGTGCCTCTGGTGTAGCTGTAAGAGGGTCCTTCATTGTGCATGTGGCAGGGCTCAGACCATGTTGTAATAAGTGGTCTGTGGTTTGCTCTTCTGCACACTCACATGTCATGGTCTCCACCTTATTTCTTAAGACTGGCTTTGCATCACGTGGTACCAGAGAGCAATCTGTTCAGTGCCTTCCAAGTCACTTCATCCACAATAAAATAATTTGGCCTCAGGAGCTTTGTTAACCAATCAACTATATAATCATCAATACAATATAGATCCTCCAACTTGCAGGAGGTGGGAAACATGGACCATGAGGCCTTCAGTACCTGCAAAGGTAAGGGAGAAGAGGATGGAAAGCTGGCATGGGGTTGCCTTTTAATCTACTTGAATATTGAGTTGTTGATGGTGGCACTGGGAGGTTGAAGGCACTGGCCAGACAGCGCATTTGATCTGTGATGTAACTGAAGTCACAATTGGGTCTGGGGAGATATAGGATTGAGATGATGAGCCTGAAGAATGAGACCCATTGTCAGATTTCAGGAAATAAGAGAGGCTAGAGCAGAAGGGGATTTGATGGCCTGGGCAACGCCACCGCAAGAAAGTTGTGAATATTTGTGGAGGATGCGGCAGGCTGCTTGTCAGGTGCTGGTGTTGATGATCGATGTGTGTGGTGTCTGCTGTCATGGCAGTGACAGAAAGATTCAAGGCAATCACAATCTCCATGATGGTACCTATCTGTATAGTAATAGCTTTTGGATCTACAGAAGTCACTGGGGAAATAATCCTGTTAGGAATGATGACATCATTGGCAGTGACAGCAGGAGCTCCAGGACCGAGAGAATGACGTAGATGGAAATCACTGACAGGGTGATTGTAACTGTGCCTGTAGGACCAACGTGGAGTGGGAGAGCTTCTCAATCAAGATGCCAATTTTGCTTGGGGATGATGCAGCTGTCTGGAAAGGGGGACTACTTGGAAGCAGATGTAGTGTTCTGGCTCAGGAGAGGAGTGTCATGGACTTCCGTTGCTGAGGCCAACGGAGGAAGACTTGGACCTAGGCCAGGACAGAGGCTCTTCAGTTGGTAGTGGGTTGATGGTTTCCGAGAGAGAGAGAGATAGATAGATAGATAGATAGATAGATAGAGAGAGAGAGAGAGAGAGCAAAAGCTGTAGGGAGTACAGAAGTTATAATTAACTAACCAATACTGGAAATGTAAATGGCTAAGACAAGAGGCTTCTATCCATGTTCACATTTTTTATTTTTGCTTCTTCAAAAGAAACCTTAGGTATCTTAGGTTCTAGCTATCTACCCAAGGCCAAAAGCCTTGCAGTTCTTGCTTTGTTATCCTTGATTTTGGACTTTTAAGGATATACACTGGACAACTCCTGGAAAGAGATTTTAAAAAATATATTTGTATTGGTTTTCTTAAAATACATCAATACATCAATACCTTTAATACTCTTATATGTGATACTCAATTCATTACATCAACTATATGTGTATATATATCTTGCATAATTTTTTTTGGTTCACTTCTGTGCCCCTCCCCCTTTCGAGCCACTTCAATTTACATTCTCTTTCCAAAATACCATTTCTTCTTGTGGAAGTAATTTCCCATCTACTTCTTTTAAGCCGTTCTCAATAATTTTTCCCCAAACTTCATCAAAGTCGTTTTCCTTCCATACCCCTTTCCTGACTCTTAACTTACATGTCAATTTATCATTTATTGCTAGTTTCCATAGTTCTTTATACCATTGGTATATTTATTTTACTTTTCCATTTCCTTGCTATCAGTAATCTTGCCGCAGTTAACATGTTATCTATTGCATCTTTCTCTGTTTTTTTCAATTTCTTAACATTATATAGTGACAACAATGCAATGCTGGAAAGAGAATTTAATGGCGAGATAAAATGGTGAGGATGAAGGGGGTTAGATTGTTGAAGAGGTTGAAACCATTTGCAGAGAACTCTTGTATATCAATGAGAGCAACAAAGCTGCTGAGGCCAACGAGGCTGGGGTCAGATCTGAGGCAGATGTAACTGATGGGGTTATGGCCCATTTTGAGGATGTCTTTGGGCCCAAGAACTGAGTAGATAATACTGGTGAAGATGTATTTCAGCGGTGATGAAGATTTTGACATGGAAGTCTTAGATAAGGCTTTCAAGGAGGTTAGATCCGGAGCGGAGAGTGCATGCTCATAAAGCAAGGGTTTCAGGTGAGAGTCTTGATTTTTTCTGGCTTGGGGAGTGAAGGCTTGGCAGCGTTCGCAAACGTGCACAATATGCCCCTCTCCTAGACACAGGACACATTTGTAGTGCCCATCACTGTGAGGAATTTTTTCTCCACAGTTGATGCACCATTTAAAAAAAGATGGTTGAGGACATATCCGAAGTTGCAGTGGCATGAGCCATTGTTGGGGCACCGGAGAGACAGAGAGCTGAGAGATAAGCCAAGAGTCAAAAAGCCAGATAGATGAAAGCTACAGAAAATAGTCAGTGCTGAAGTGCAAGGTCAAATACAATTTGATAAGGAAGAGAAAGATCCAAAAAGCAAGCTGAGTCAAACCATTATAGCAGATGCTGAACACAGACAAAGGTTCCTGCAGTGGGAGAAAAGAAACTTTTTGTGTGTGACAACCCACTATTTATACTGTGGAGAGAGTGGACGAGGTTACTGCCAAAAACTGTATCTCTAGAGTTCTAGAAGTTCCCCAAAGAGCTCTGTGAAGACACAGAACACCCATTTTGTTTGATTCACAGAGACCACAGAGAAGAACAGTTCATTATATTCCTATAAACAAAAAGCAGCTAAAAACATGATCTCCTCTAAAAGCTTATACTACAGTCAACATGTTATCATGTCTTTGTTTTAGTTCTTGCAAAATGAAATTCAATACTTGTAACTATAACAATACATTACAAATTGTGGTTTCTGTAATGGGAGAAACAATATAGTACATGCTCAAAGGCCCCGTTCTACACATGTCTTACACATGTTTGTTGAACCCTGGTGAAGACTTGGTTCTGTGTCTAGACCAGTGGTTCTGAACCTATGGGTCCCCAGGTGTTTTGACCTACAGCACCCAGAAAACCCAGACAGTTTACCAGCTGCTAGGATTTCCAGAAGGCCAAAACATCTGGGGATCAACAGGTTCAAAACCACTGGTCTAGACTGTGCTAAGAACTGGCTCATTTTGAGCTTCAGAGAGAAGCACCTGCAGAAAACACTGCAGCATCACTGCCACTCACTTGATAAGGTAGACATCATATTTCCCCGCTGAGCGACCAGACTTCCTTTGCTTGAGCTTGCGAGTCCAGCCTTCAGGCAAAGTGGGGTCATCGTACATGGGGCCACGATCTCGGATGACGGAACGGCGCTGTTTTGGAGAGGCAGAAGCTTCAGGCACAGCTGGGGCAGTCCCAGCTCCTTCCGACATCTCTGCTTTGCCTGCTTCAGCTGGTTCAGGTGAAGAATGCTCATGTTGCTTTTCTTCCTTCCGCTCCTTCTTCACTTTTTTGAGTTTGGAGGATTTGTCCCTCAGGCCCTGTAAGTCTTGGTCCTCAGATTTTTCTTCCCTACAAAAAGAAAAATAAGTCCCTGTGACCATTAAGCACACCTCAATACAAAATAAGGATGGATGGGTAGATCTAGAACTACTCACTGATAATTACACTGATAAAGTCCCATTTCCACCCCCACCCACCTCCGCAGCACAATCTACAATACACAGAAGCCCTTCAGCTAAATATGACTCCCCAATCCTTTTTGCACTCCTTAGAAATATGTTTCAACAATGGATACCATAGCCACCCAAATTCAACAGCAAATGCGCTACGGCTAATGGCGCAGCCAGTTTAGTTCAATTTCAGAAGTCAACATAATCATAAACATCAATACAAGTTTTATGCCACATAAGCAGACCCAAGTCCTCCTGTGATGACAGATCTCCCTGTGACCTTTGGTGTTAGGCCTTGTGCCTAACGTTATTATTGTCCACTGTTGGAGGGTAGACCATTGGGTTAAGGCTGAGCATGGGTTGTGACAACCTTCTGTCTACCATCTCTGACGTTAGTCACTTTGTATTGTCAAAGGCTTTCATGGCCGGAATCACTGGGTTGTTGTAGGGTTTTCCAGGCTATATAGCCATGTTCTAGAGGCATTTTCTCCTGACGTTTCGCCTGCATCTAGATGCAGGCGAAACGTCAGGAGAAAATGCCTCTAGAACATGGCCATATAGCCCGGAAAACCCTACAACAACCCAGTTAGTCACTTCGCTCTTGCACAGTTCTGGTCTTCCTCCGCATTATTACCTATGGCCAGTGGTAGGCCCTTGGTTACCACTGTGCCCACAATGGTTCAATTCAGCCATTTTAGTCTTGTGCCATTGCGTACTCCGTCCTATTGCGGAGTACGCAATCCCTAAGCACCGGGATTGTTGTGCAGCTGGTTGGGTTTTTTTTTTTTTTGTCGTGTCAGAACAACCAGTCTAACAGAACAAAGCAAACAAACAGAAAAATACAGAAGGTCATGATTTCGAAGCCAGGCCAGGTCAGGGTGAGCTTCCGATTAATTTTGTGTAGCTTGTTGTCGACCTTTGCAACCCGAAATACAGTTGCATCTGTCAAGTAAGAAATTTAGGTATCACCTATGTGTGGAGAGGCGAATTTAACCAATTTACGAGTCCATAAAAAATCTCCAGCAAAGCATTCGGGGAATGCGGAAAGTACTTCATCAGTGTCGCAGAGGAACGGTGAAGCAACAGCTCCCCTAGTGGCCAGAAACGTTGGAATGTTAAATAGCCTCTGTCTGTCTATATGTGTTGTATGTCTATGGCATTGAATGTCTGCTATGTATGTGTACATTGTAATCCGCCCTGAGTCCCCTGCGGGGTGAGAAGGGTGGAATATAAATACTGTAAATAAATAAATAGAAATAAATATATCCATTATCAAAAAAGCTCCAGTATCCAAAACTAGTCACCCGCTTCCACCTTCAAGTGACATGTGTGACACTTTTCCTCATTTTTTCATAAAGCAGAAGTGAATAACTCAAAAGCTCCTTAGAGATCTGTACAATATTCTACTTTTTCTTCCAAATATCAGGTCCTTATAATTCAAGTCTCTCAGATCCTCAGTTTTCCTCCAGCATTTTATTCGCTAAATGTAGCAAATGAAAGAAATACAAGGTTAGAGAGACTAGCCTTGTATCTCTTGGATTTGTGAATGGCAGGTAGATTCACACCAAGAACTATGCTTGGATTCCTGTCATTTCATTTTTCTGTTGGTGGCACTAAATTAAGTGTGTGTCTTACAATCAATGGCATATTAGAATCAAAGAAATATGGTAACAGTTCGAGTACGTTCTGGATAAGAGGTCTCCCAGAACTATGCATGTAGCTATATTATACAGATATATCTAAAGGCATCAGATCCCATATGATCTTGGAAACGAGACAGAGTCAACCCTGGTTAGTACTTGGGGTTGACTCTGTCTAGCTTCCAAGATCATATGAGATCTGATGCCTTTAGATATATATCTGTAAAATACAACTACATACGTAGTTCTGGGAGACCTCTTATTCAGAACGTACCCAAACTGTTACCATATTTCTTTGATTCTAATATGCCATTGATGAATATCAGATGCTGTAGGTTATGTTTCAGAAGAAAGAACTACATTATTTCCTGCCTAAGAAAACCCCATAAAAATTAATGGAGTTGCCATAAATTAACAGATGGCTTAAAGGCACATACACACATATTCCCCTTCCTCATAAATTTAATTAATTAATTGATTGATTGATAATAAACAACTTTATTTGTATTCCACAACCATCTCCCTGGAGGAACTCGGGGCAGCTCACAGGATGCACTCAGTAGTGACACACAATATACATGCAACAAAATATAAAATATTACTCCAACCATCACCCAAGTCAAAAAAGAAGCACCATTAAAGCCTTGGCAGACCGTGCAAAAAGAATCTGCGAACCCCATCTCCTCCAAGATGAACTGAACCACCTCAACTGGGCTCTCCAGGCCAATGGATACTCCACCTCAGACATCAGAAGAGCTGCAAGACCAAGAACAAGCCACGAGAGTAAAGATGAAGATCCACCCAGAGGAAAGTGTTCCTGCCATACATCAAGGGAACCACTGACCACATAGGGAAGCTGATGAGGAAACACAACATACAAACTATCTACAGACCCACCAAGAAAATCCAACAAATGCTATGTTCAGCAAAGGACAAGAGGGATCCTCTCACCTCTGCAGGAGTCTACCGTGTATCATGCAGCTGTGGACAAGTCTACATAGGGACCACCAAACGCAGCATTGCCCAAACACGAATCAAGGAACATGAAAGACACTGCAGACTACTTCAACCAGAGAAGTCAGTCATAGCAGAGCACTTGATGAACCAACCTGGACACCGCATATTATTTGAGAACACAGAAATGCTGGACCACTCCAACAACCACCATGTCAGACTACACAGGGAAGCCATTGAAATCCACAAGCAAGTGGACAATTTCAACAGAAAGGAGGAGACCATGAAAATGAACAAAATCTGGCTACCAGTATTAAAAAACTCTAAAATTACAACAGCAAAAACAGCAGAGAGGAAACAACCAGGGACATCTTAACACCTCTCAACAAAATATTCCCCCAGGTTCAGCCAGGCCTTCAAATGCTAATGAAGATGGTCAGTTGAAACATTCACACCTAACTCCAGCAGAGAAGAGCTCTTTGCCCCACCCCAGTCATTCCACAGATATATAAACCCATTTTCCTAATTCCAACAGACCTCACTACCTCTGAGGATGCTTGCCATAGATGCAGGCGAAACGTCAGGAGAAAATGCCTCTAGAACGTGGCCACAAGAACCTATAAAATACTAAATTAGTAACAATAAATATTAACCCAATTATACATAAAACAACAATAAAACCCCATCAATTAAAAATACTAAAAGACCCGACAAGCTATTCTATGAATGGGGCTGGGCAAAAGCACAACACATTATTCAAGTAGAAGCAGCCCGGATGTGAGCATGTACTTTTTGCCGTTTTCCTTTTCTTCACAAAGAAGGGAACCCAGCAGCTGTGATAACCAGAAAGATGAGAGGCATTTGAGAGGAACTCCTCTATTCTCCAGGCTATAATTACTGCTGCAGAAATTCAAAGTGTTTGTAAATAAGCTGGGAATGCTGCATTTGGGAAATCATATTGCTTGCATTTTCCAGGAGTGGAGAAATCACACTCAAAAGGTGACATAATGAGATGCTGCTTGTTGAACAAATGGATTATGCTTTAGAATAGGGAATAAGAACACATCTTTCAAATGGTTTTGGTCGCAAACCGTGAAAGAGAATGGCGCATCTCCAGCAATACCAGATGATGTTTTAAATTAACACCAGACAAGTTGGCCTAGTCCAGCAACAGCCAAAACAGTGTAGACTACCAACAGTCCTACAGTCTGTCAAACAGCACTGACTAGTTAACGTATGAGCAGCATTTGCTTGAGACATCCCATGAATAATTTCACAAATCACAGGGGCAAATGCAGTTATATCAGATGGATTAATTAATCTGGGGAGCTATTATAACTGCTAGAGCAGCTTGGAAACACCTATTTTTGATTGGGGGTTAGAAGAGGCCAGGTAGGTCTAATCACTGTTACTATAGGCCAGTGTTTCTCAACCTGGGGGTCGGGACCCCTGGGGGGGGGTCGTGAGGGGTGTCAGAGGGGTCGCTAAAGACCATCAGAAAACACAGTATTTTCCTTTGGTCACGGGGTTCTGTGTGGGAAGTTTGCCCCAATTCTGTCGTTGGTTGGATTGAGAATGCTCTTTGATTGTAGGTGAACTATAAATCCCAGTAAGTACAACTCCAAATGTCAAGGTCTATTTCCTCCAAACTCCACCAGTGTTCACATTCGGGTATATGGAGTATTCGTTCCAAGTTTGGTCCAGATCCATCATTGTTTGAGTCCATAGTGCTCTCTGGATGTAGGTGATCTATAACTCCCAAACTCAAGGTCAATGCCTATCATGGGAGTCCTGTGTGTCACCTTTGGTTCAATTCCATCGTTGATGGGGTTCAGAATGCTCTTTGATTGTAGGTGAGCTATAAATCCCAGCAACTACAACTCCTAAAATATCAAGGTCTATTTCCCCCTAACTCCACCAATGTTCACATTTGCTCATATTGAGTATTTGTGCCAAGTTTGGTCCATATCCATCATTGTTTGAGTCCACAGTGCTCTGGATGTAGGTGAACTACAACTAAAACTCAAGGATGATGCCCAGCAAGTCCTTCCAGTATTTTCTGTTGGTCATGGGAGTTCTGTGTGTCACCTTTGGTTCAATTCCATCGTTGATGGGGTTCAGAATGCTCTTTGATTATAGGTGAACTATAAATCCCAGCAACTACAACTCCCAAATGTCAAGGTCTATTTTCCCCTAACTCCACCAAAGTTCAGAATTGGGCATATTAAGTATTTGTGCCAAGTTTGGTCCATATCCATCATTGTTTGAGTCCACAGAGATCTCTGGATGTAGGTGAACTACAATT